ACCAGGCTACAGAATGCCAGCAAAATAGAGGAAAAAACACACCACAGTACGATCCTATGTTAGATTATGCAGTTGTTTCACACAAAATTGGAAAACTGGCAACACATGAAGAATTCTTTGAGGTGAACAAGCTGTCAACATGAAACCATGTATTTTTGAAAATTGAAATGTTGGCTCTTCAAGTCTACCATAAGGTCAGGTCAAAGGAAAGACCTACCACCTTTAATGGTCTCTGCAGCACGTCCTAAACCTTTCTGCATTGGATGAGCTTGAGTTCATTATTAGAAATGGAATTATCACAATTTAACTTATGATACAATAAAATAGCAAGTTTATTACTATTACAGGGAAATCCCTCTGCAATATATAACTCAAGTTCATGTATTTTTGAGCAAATCAACAAGAGAAGTGTTAGACATGAAACCTTTTGCAATGGGGAGCTGTTAGCTGATTAGAAAGTGGAAAAGAGCGGGAATAAAATCAGAAACTAGACCCAGTCTTATCAATGGTCATTCTGTTCATCTGAACTGTCAACATCGTTCCAGTGAAACTAGTTTCTAACACATGTATAGATAGAAACAATACTCTGGTGAAACAATTCCAGAAAATTATTTAGCTAGAAGAAAATGTCATACCACATACATAAATGTTGTAACATGAAGTCACCACCATTTTTTGAAAGCCACCTCAAACAAAGCCTTTGCACTTATTTATCTTTAAAAGTTCCATACTCAGCACTCACAGAGAAAAACGTATCAAATATATATCATATCCTTAGAATTTTACTGCACGTGGCCTCTATATGTTTAACAATCAATCAAAGACACTGTAGATGGAAGACGGAAAACCAAATCAGGATAACCAGAACTCAAAAGGTTTTGGTTTCCAAGATCAGTTCAGATTTCCAGTAGGCAACTCAAGCAGCACAGCAGCATCTATTTTAGTGTAGAGGTTTTTATGTGACAGATTTGTTTTTAATTGATTTTAAAAGTGGTGCTATCTGCTTTTCAAGTAAACCTGAAAAAGTGCCATGATGCTCTCTGGGTTAGTAATAGTCAGAATACAAGGATTCAGCTTCTCAGTTGTAAGCATGCAAAACGTGCATATGCTTGGAATTAGTACCATCTTGCAGAATTGCTGGATTCACATTAAAAGGTGTCACATGTCTCACTACCCCATACCTTTTCTACATATAGAACTCTCCATTCAAATCTCTACAAGTTAAAGTTTAGCAACAGATAGCATATACTCCTAATGTTCCATGTAACTGAAAAAGACTATTGAAAGATTTTTGTTATCATCTTGGCAATACTGATATTAAGACTCTACTTACTGTCAGATAGAGGAATATTTCTGAGTATTTAGAAGGGATGCCCAGAAAATTGCTTTGGATTGCTATAACTATTCTTAAAAGGCACACTTTAAAGTGTTCAAATCATTGCAGAAGGTTAAGTCCTATTTTTAAAACAACAGAAAGAGTATAACGTCTATTGCTCAGAATGGTTTTTAACATTTTTTTATAAATCTGGGTTCTGTTATTCTACTCTGGGAGGTCTGTAGGCAGGACCTACTGACATCTGGGGCAATCTGGTGTGTAGGCACAACAGAGAGAGTCTAAGAACTGCCACTTTTAGCCTTCACTGCATATTCTAGATGATTTTGTGCAGTGCCCATATTTAAGACTGAATTTCTTTAGGGCAGCCAAGCAACAAGCCTGGCTGATTACCTGAAAAGTGTACGCTGCTATAGCTAAATTAATGGTTGGCAAAAGGCTAAAAAAGAACAGATTAATTTGAAAATTAAAAAGCTAGCATTACAGTCATTTATAGCCAGGCTAAAATTAGTGCAGTGAAAAGAAAATAGGAGATGTAGGACACAGAATTTCCCAAGCACACTGTGGGCTTGCTCCTGGCTGGAGCTGCTGGGCACACCCAGCATTAAGCCCCTGGCAGGCAGTGCTTGCGGCATGAGGATGAAGAGTGCTGTGTGAGGATGAAGAGCACTGTGCACACAGCTGGGCCCATCTGGAAAAACTGTTTTTGATTTTGAGCTTGGTAGTAAGCCAGCTGTGGCCAGGTTCCGTGAGGGTAGGCTGAATAGTCATTCACAGATGTTTCAGGATAAAAAGAGAGGGTTGGTCACCGCAAATAAATTGATCTGCTGCCGTAATCCTGCTCAACAACATTCTCTGAGGGGCTGGATCAATGTATCTACACGCACACACTTGGACCATGGGTACTTGGCAGGGTTTATGAGCTCAGCCTGGGCGCTGCACTACTGCCTTTACATGCCTGCTGGACCACAGCTGGCTGGCGTCCCGACAGATCAGGCTGTGGGCACAGCGGGGGCTGCAACTCAGCCACGGCAATACACCTCGAGGAGAACACAGCCTTTGCTACCCTCAGCTTTGCAAGCAACAGAGAACAGTGGCAAAGTCAAAATATGCCGTGATTACATGTTGGATCGTGATTTCTTCTCACGAAGGCCCATCAGGCTGTGCAGTTTCTAGTCACATTCACAAAACCACCTTTTCAGTGTCTTGCCAAAATTGCAAAACTTAATGGGAAGGAATCTGCAGGAAGGCTCCTGCAAGAGTGATTCATCCCTTTGGCTTTTGTATATTAGGAAACAATTTTTAGATTCATGATCACAGACTGCATATATCACAAGGTCAAAGTTTCTCTCAGTGCACAAGATGAACAGACTACAGAACTCTCTACCTCAAATGAACATGTTCCTAAAGTTAAAGAAAAAACCACAACTTTTTGCTGATTTCAATACCTGAAAGGTCAGATTCGTACCGTAAAGGATTATAATTCCTGTCAATACACTGCTGTTTAAGCATTTTATTTTAAAATGTCCCTTTCATGTGCCACTCCTCTGTACTGCCAGCTGTACATATGCCTCCTCAGACAAAAAGGAGATTTTTCAAATGTACAAGAGGTGGTTAGATGCTTACAGTAGCCTGGAGCACTTCAAATCTCTCCTTCTGAAATCCAAGACTGAAAACTAATTCACAAACCAAATGGGATGAAACTGTTTAAAATATTTAGTCACCTTGAAAAACAGCTGATATAGATATTCTTTCTATAGTGCTCAGCTCAGGAAGGATTTAATTGTATGTTGAAAGCATACCATGTACCATGTATTTTATGGGAAAGAGAAGGCCAATCTCTGAGAGTAAAAATACGAAAAAATTAGCTTTGGCCACCATCTACAGCTGGAGCAAAAATGTGATTTCAGCATTGCCAGTGTGTTTTTATATTAACCACTGTTTGCTGAGTCCAACCGAAATTCTCTATTTTTAGCCTTTCAGCTACTTTCAGATAAAATTCCTGCAGATAGGACTAGCTGTATAGGGCAGATAACATACAGCTCTGAAACCACAGACGACCTCATGCAACTGCAAAGAAAGAAGGGTCTGTTACTTAAAACAAGGCTAAAATTTAACCCGGCTATACTAAAATTATACAGGGAGTGTTTTACAGTCCCATTAAAAGACATAAAACAACACTCACTATAAATTCACGGTGTACTTATTTGTAGGGATGTAAAAAAGAGTAATTAATAACCCCCAAACAGCTTATCTCTGAGCCAGTACAACACCAAAGCTTTCCCAGGCTCACTGGAGATTTTACAAATAGCACTGAGAAGCTGCTTTAGCTGTCATTTGAGAATTATTTGTTCAAACTGAAAAGTCATCGCTCTCTGTCACAAGTCACAAGACATTTTCTAGTGTTCCACACTTTTAGTTGACATTATGGAGAGAAAATAAATAAATGTAGTGCAAACTTTCTGGAAAGGGCTTCCATGTGTAAGAACACATACTAACCACAGATCCGAGGGAGCACTGCACAGTGATTCTTCTTTGTGCTAAATGCACTGTACCTTCCTATATTCTACTTCACCCTTTCTATGTGTCCCCTTATATACCAAAAGGAACCCATTTCCTCTGAAATGCCATTATTTCCAGTAGAATGAAGTACAGTTCTAAGTACTCTCATTTAAGTTTATCTGAAGTATTTGAGGAGAAATGCATAAGGAGCGGGTATGTCACAAGTGAATCAATACAGATCAGGGTGCTCAGTTTGCATTCCCTGGAATGTGTTTTAGTTTACAGAATATTTGGTGGATATTTCTTCAGAACAAATTCTTCATGAGGTTATCACAGTTCCAGTTGTGAAAGAAACACTCTGAAATCTCCTTTCCTCAAGAAAAAGTTTCAATCCTTAATAATGAGCGAACAGTTCAGATACATGAGTGAAATGATGCTACACTAAAGAAATTCTTTCACTCCCTCACCTAATCACTGTAAGAGATCAGTAAAGGATTCAAACTATTTCTCTTAACTCTTCCTTTCTTTTCTTAATACCAATGTAGGCAAACCTATATTTTTTAAAAATGACATAGCCTGTACCTGTCATCTAATTTTTCAAGCACAGCCAGGATTGAAATAAAGGGTTACAAAGCACTTAACTGATAATTTGTGATTATAGAACAAGTCTGATTTTTCTGGATTCATGTCACTTGAAAGGAGAAATTTCATTTGTCATAAGGAATGAAAACCAGGATGGAACAAAGTTTGCTATTTCTCTCTCTAAGGAATTGTAGGTGGACTTATATAAACAACAGAGCAATGACCAAAGGGAAATCTTAGGGACCATAATATACTGAGGTATTAAAGGAACAGAGCCTTTTATCTACTGTGGAGGAAGGAAGTAAAGCATCGAGACATATGTAATATATGCAATTAAAAATAAAAAAACCCAAGAGAGTCCCAAAAAAGACTGAAATCAATTAAAGTCTGTTTTTGTCTTACTCTGTTAAAATGACAAGTAAGAACCAAAAATGCAATCTACCACAAAAATTATGCTCCATCACCTGGAAAAGCCAGGCTTTCAACTCTATTTTAAGCTGAATTTTCCTCCACATCCCATGAAATAAGCACTGTTCGATCACAAACCATGTCCTCATTCACTGACAGTTCAACTGAGGCTTACCTTGTCCTCCACTCTGTTCAGCCTGGCACCAATCGTGTTATTTCCTCGATCTTTGCTTTTCTCTGTGGAACAAGAAACATTTTCAACTTAATATATGGTGGTATAACAAAATAGCAGCTAGCCACAACAGGGTGTGTTTAACTAGGCCACCAACACTGTGTAACTGAATACCTTTGCCAGGGTGATAGATCTATTCCTTAAAAGCAGTTTTTATTTCTTTTTATAGCATTGGCCCACGCCACAGCATTTAATAGCCCTTAAGTTTAAGGCATGTTCAACCTTAGTTTTATGCTTTAACCAGGAAGAAAAAAAATGTTCCCAATTTAGTTAATATTTTAATTGCCACTTAAAAACAATCTGCCATTACACAAAGGACTCTACAGTCAACTCAAAATAACACATTTGGTGACATGTTTCCCCCCCACATTTTTCCCCCCACAAAGTATGTAGAAAATGACTTTTCAAATGACATAAACAAAGAGTTTTCATTAGCTAGACTTGTCACAAACAAATTTAGTCCTTTGTGCTAAATAAGAACAACCCTAATTTAAAGGTGTTGATGACTAAATATTATTGCCAATGCCTAATCCTCAGAGCACAACCAGTTGACACTGTTTAAAAATTTGGCAATAAAATGAAAAGTATTTTAACAAGCATTTTCCATTAACTATAACTTTATCAGATTAATTTTAGACATGTCCTTTGTATTAACTTACCTGAGACAGAGATAAAAAGAGATGGCTTCCCTATGGACTGGTCCAACCTATAAATCAAAAAGAATAATTCTTATTTTTTTATTAGCCGAACCAGCATCTTCACTTTCTCTAGCTGGAGCAGGGAGGCCTCTTCACAAACAAGCAAAGTGAAGTTCAAATAATTCTGGGTTTGTCCTGTAAGTGAAGCCATTGCTTTGTGCTAAGAATAGATTAAAACTAAAAAAAAAACAAACCAAAATGGGATTAGACTTAGATTGGTCTACAGCTTCTTTAACAACTGTAGTTTCACCATGCCCATCACTTTTCCATGTGATCAGCATTGTTTCCTCTTTTCCTTGTTCCTCTGCAGCTTTCTTGCTGCATCTATCTGTCATCTCTTAGTTTGCTCTTAAGTGCAATTCTACCAGAGTTGGTGAGAGTATTGCACTCTCTAGGTATAATACAGCCCCTAACATACAAGGATTTGACATATAGTCAAAGCTAGCAGGAACTGAGGTAATACATGTACGTCCTAATCGTCAGATTTTTAAGCCTTTTGTCTTCTCCTCCTGGTAGGAAAAGAAAATTTTTACTCAAATGTCACTTTATATTCACTAACTTTGCACAGTCCTACCAATATGGTAGGACACCATCAGCTTTTTGTCCGTGAGGCCCAATCACTGCCTAATTTACAAACATCCTTCTGCTGCTGTTTATGCATACCAACAGTGAATTCATGGACATACCTCCTCTGTAACTCCTTGATTCGCACCATCAGGTTGAGGTGACCCTGAGAATACTGCTCAATAACATCTCGGACATCATAGGGCTTTCTAGCTTGCTGTAAAATAAGAGACAAAAAACATGCCTTTAAGACACAAGGATGTAGGAATGGTGTGTGACAATGTAGATGTTTTTGAGGAGTAAACAGCAAGTTCTTTTAATTCCTTTTAACAAAGTTGTTATTATAACTGTATGAGTTACTTTGATTGTTGCCATGATCACACATATTTGGTGATTTTGACAATTCTCATTTCATCCACCTTTTTCTAACTGCAGACCTATACGCCTTTCAAGAGATTATCCACCAAACTGGAGCCCAAAAGAACTTGGAGACAAAAAAAGTTTATCTGGCACTTTGATCAGAAGTCTGTGCTCACTCTAGTTGCTTCGGAACAACTTTGGCCACTGAACAATAAAGAGGTCTTTCACTTGCACAAAGCCCCTGTTCTCCGTCAGCAGCTGGGGTTCTCAGTTCAGGTCTTACCACAGGAAGGTTAAAGCACAATCCTTGATGAAGGTGCAAGACTGATTTCCTCTTCCAGAAAGAGTGGCTGAGCTTTCAAGGCTACTGGGAAATACTGGTGCAAGGAATGACGAGGGAGAAAGCCCTCTGTCTGTAATTTGAATGGCATACATGGGAAAGACTTAATCTGACCTTAGCAGTAAAACAACTTTTTTTTAGAATTAAAGATAAGGGCAATACTATTAACCTATAAACACCAAGACTAACTGGAAAGCAAGTGAACAAACATTTCAAAGTGCAGGAACAAATTAAAAATATCTTAATCCTACATCTAGAAACTACAGTGCAATCAGTGCCAGAATTGTTTGGTTCCCAGCACAGGAAAGTCGAGGACCTGTTAGAACGAGTCCAGAGGAGGCCACAAAGATGACCAGAGGGCTGGAGAACCACTCCTATAAAGACGAGCTGAGAGAGTTGTGTTGTTCAACTTGGAGAAGAGAGGGTTCCAGGGAGACCTCATTGTGGCCTTTCAGTACTTGAAGAGGGCTTTTAATAAAGATGGGGACAGAGTTTTTACAAGGGCCTTTTTAGTAATAGGATAAGGGGGAATGGCTTCAAGGTGAAAGAGGGCAGGTCTAGATTAGATATTAGGACGAAATTCTTTACTTTGAGGGTGGTGAGACACTGAAACAGGCTGCCCAGAGAAACTGTGGTTGCCCTATTCCTGGAAACAATCAAGGTCAGGTTGGAAGGGGGCCTGAGTAACCTGATTGGTTGAAGATGTCCTTGCTCAAGCCAGGAGGTTTGCATTAGGTGACCTTTAAACATCCCTCCCAACTCAAACTATTCTATGATTCTATGATTTCTGACCCATTCATAATGCTGTCTACAGATATCCTGTAGCTAATTTCAAAGTTTAGTGAAAACTTTGGTAACACTGTTACAACTTCTTTCTTGCTGTTTTTAGAACAAGAAAAAGAGTTTACAGTGGTACCTTCTAAGATACCAGAATCTGTATCCCATTTGAGGTCTCAGAACTGTTCTGTCACCTGTACTTCAAAAGCAGATGTCTCTGCACTGCTTTATCTTACGTCACACACTGCAGGTTTTCCTCAATTCCATGCCACAAATACCTTCTTTTCTAAGCCAAAGGAAAGTGGGATACAATATAAAAAACAGGCTGTGGCAGTCCCCTGTGCAGTTCCCTGCACCTGCCTGAGAGGTAGCTCCCACATTTCAGGAATCATTACTTTAATAACATCACTTCATTAGAAAAATTATATTTCAGTCAGCCAGATTCCTGCAAACCTTGCATGAACATGATATACTCACTAAGGAAGGCTAAAGAGGAATGGGAATTGCTTCAATCTAACCAAGGAGCACAGAAGAATTCCCAAGAATCCCCACTGCTTACACACATATAAATCATAACTAACATCCACAAAAAAAGAAATATGGTTCAATGATGGCATAAGCCATCTTTCCCTGGACTAGTACTGTGAACATGATGATATTAAAAAAAAAAAAAGAAAAGAAAAGAAGTGTTCTAGATTATTTTTGTACTGTAAATAAGCAAGAGAGAAATCTGAAAGATGAGCTTGAAAACTCCAGGTTAAGAAAAGCTGTTAATTCAGTAAGAACAAAGATGAAGAGCTTTCTCTTGCCATCCTCATACTCTCACACAGGAGCCTGACAGTAGACAGACTAGGTATGTCTCTGCCTATTTATCCTTTACAGGGCTGTTTCTTCCTCTTTTAAACATGAATTGAAAACCTGGAGTAAACAGAATTTATGAATAAAGCTTAATTTCTGAGTACGATAGGGTATTTAATAGTCAGTACTGATTTTTCTGTAATTACTTCATATTGAAAGCTGATCTTTCATGAGAAAATAGTCCTGATGTTAATTTTTTAAAAGGAAAAAAACCTGCAGCAGGCAATGAATGAGTATTGAAGAAACAGAAGTAGAAGCCAGCCCTGCAGCTTTCCTTTAACTCTTCTTTACTTTTGTTCCTCTGCTAATTAACCAACACTCATGGCAAAACTTCTTAAATGAGTTAAAATTTCCCCCATCATATATGAAAGTTTGCAAAAGGCACAAAAGCCAATGTCAAATATTAAATGTGCACTACTGGCTGTTGCTGTTCCCTAGTAACTGGATGGGCAGGGAGGCATAACCTGGGAAAGGGAGAGGGGAACATGGGCAAGGGGAATTTGTGGGAAATGTAAGCAAATAACAGTAAAAAAAAATGGGTAGAACATCCTGTGAAGCACAGGACACTGAAGTATATTGTTTGGTACAGCCCAGTATGGAGATTAGAAAAGATTGCACACACAATTCATGATTCATACCACGACAAATGAATTACGTAAGATGATGAACTACAAGACTATAAATGTAAGATTTTCCAGGGAAATTGTAACAGATCAGGCAACAGTTATGTCATCAGTAGAGTTGCAACCTGTATTTTTAATTTATGCTATGTATAGAACATTTGCCATGGTGAAAGACGTAGCACAAGTTAAAATTGTATTTTAGAAGGAAATTAATTTACTCAACAGGAAGAATTTACATGTAAAGAAAGTAAAAAAAAAAAAAAAGATTTAAAAATGACAATGGGAAATCAGAACAAATTTTTGGTCTCTGGATCTGTGATGGGTACCACAGTTGTATCCATGTTCATAAGTTTTAAGACTTTTAGAAACTTTCCTAATTGGAAAACAAAGGCTATTCATTCATGAATCAAGCTAATGGAATAACTGAGTATGGTGATTTTCTTTCTGAAATTCAATTATAAGGTTAAACTGTGTCAAAGACATCTGAGTTATAAAAAATACAGAAAATTGATTTTTGGTAGGTGGGGTGAACAAATCCTAGAAAACAATTAATTTCTAAGTCTACTTTCCCTGTAATCTGTAGAATCCTTCCTTAACCATAAGCCATTCACCTTAACTGATGCATAGGACTTGTGTTGACTACTAGTAGAATGTGATCTTTTGTACTGAATTTGAAACAGTCTACAGACTTTATGAGAACATAAACACATCTATAAAAAAGGTATTAATTCTTTATAATAGTATGCTGGGTTCTTACACGGGTATCATCATAAGGACTATATTTAAACCCAACTTTGAAATACAGTCTAAATTATTCTCTTGCTTATTTAAGAGGAAATGAAACCCATTTGCTTCACAAAGACTTGCTTTTCATGTCCTTTCAAATTCTTTGTTTCCCTGTTTAGTTTTTCTTTATTTATTTTATTTATTTATTTTTTTTTAAACAGGAAGGCTTTGCTTTCTAGCTGGCTTTTGTCCTGGTGGTACCATCACCTCCTGTTATTAACTGATCTCTTAAAAAAATGTATCTAGTCAAATTTAGGCATACAGGTGTGTCCTGCAAACAGCTGGTATAGTTTAAGAACCATGCTGAGTTCATGCTGGGACCTGTTTTGCAAAATTTTCCTCTTCCTCTCCTTCTTCCTATGCTGCCCTTCTCAAAAGCTTCACAGGCATCTCTAAAAAGTAATCCTTTAAAGTGTTGGCCTTGCTTAATGTTCCAGCTAATTTTAAGCATGAATAGTCCAATGGACTTCAGATGAAATTCGGTTGTGGGTTTGTTGGTTTTTTTCCCAATAGTTATAGGAAGAAAATATCCGAATTTTTTTAACATATATTTCACATAAACACAAATCTTAGAAAACAAATATCTACCAGAAAACAGCTACACAGACCCCTTACATTCTGAAAGATACATTTTTAAAATGCATCTTCTGCTTTACCTTAATTTCAGATATTACATTGGTCTGGTTATTAGAAACAGTACAGTCATTACTTGGCACATGTTTAAACATTTTAATTTCTTATGATTATTTTATGTGCATACAACAGAACAAAGCAGATTTACAACGTACTTTTGATGAAAGAATAATGGCAGTGGTTATCTCTTTAACTACTGGAGAGATTTTCAAAAGCACCTTGTGGCTTGAATTTCAAGGTGACTTTGTGCATTACGTTACTTAGGTGCTTTGGAAAACTGTACCTTTGGTGCTCTCCAAATTTTTAAACTCGGTCATAACCTTGTATTCAGAAATTATGGAGAAGTATCAGATACCCCCTTACATTCCTATTGGGAGATTCTGTTTCTGACAGAAACAGCAGCGTATCACTTGCACACAGGAGTGATTTGAGATACATTCTACTTCAGCCAAACTGACATTTTTAGTTCTTTAGTAACAGCTAATATCGATCGTTCAGGAAGAAGAAAGACTGCTAAAGGAGGATGAGAGACAACCTTGTTGAGGGATTTTGTAGATGGCCAGGACCAGGTCTTTTGCAGATCCAAAAGTGAGAGTACAACTGAGAAGCCAGATTAGCAACTGAGATACTGAGCACAAACAAGTTTTAAGTATGAACTGAATGGTCCCATTCTATTCAGTCAAATGCTTTTTCAGCTTCTATCAAATCATCTGCCGCAGGGGAGTTTCGTTTATTTGCCAGGTGGATAATGTTGCACACAGTGTTCAGGCATTTTCAAAATCTGTTTCTGACAAATACCACTTGGGAGGCAGATATACAATATGTAGATTTCTTGTTTCTAAGCAGTTTAGTTAATACCATGGCAAATATTTTATGATCTAAATTTATGAGAGCACTGATCCAGTAATTACCACAGTGCAAAGGATCAAAATTAAGTGAATAAATTAAAGTTAAATGGAACTGGCCATATTTAGGCAATTTTTCACACAACAGCAGTAGACACATCATTGGAATGGGCTACATCCCTTGCCAAGTTACAAGTGCTGGCCAGCAAGTGCGAAAGAACTTCTAAACAAAATGACTATAAATATTATTTTCAAGTAGTCTGGACATTGTGCCTTACTTAACCTTAGTCTAATAATAAAAATAGGTGAAATGTGATAGCTGAAAGTTTCTGAAAGTGCTCTCTTCAAGAAAAGCCTGGCCACGGGTGATTTCAGCCTAAATGGTGATGGTATGAACACATTATACATAACAGAAAAAATTTTCTGAAAAGTTTAGGCAAGCTTAGCCATAAATTAGATCATGGATTTTAGTAAAAATGAAAGTATTCAAAGTAGAAAATTGCTAAGGAATTCAGACAGTGCTTCTAAATTTCAATAAGGAAGTCAGAATCATGGGTTTGAAATAGCAGCTAACACCGTCTTACAGATATATTGGACTGTTAGTCATCATCATCACCTTCTGGATCCTAAATTTTGTGCCCTTGAAATTTGAAGGAAAAAGGACACCCTCCCTTTTTGGAGGGTCTAGATTAAGGGTGGGAAAGCTTTTTGGTCTATTGTAAACAGTAGTGGAGAGGTCATATATGAAAACGGATGTGGGCCATTAAGACCCACTCTTCCTTTGCATTTTCAGTTGTGAAGCCTGCTCTCCAGAGATTACCATTATTCATTAATTTTAAGTAAAGTTATATATATATATATTCACCTGGTTTAAATCAAGCTGAAGGCTGTTAACATGTGTTTTTACTGGATTAACCAAAATTGATTTTTAGAAAGTTTGCAGTCATATTTTTTTATTCAGACCGGGTAACAAGGTTAATTGGCCACTGTTAAATGCTTATGGCAGCACAAGACCACAGCAAGTGAAGTGGTACACAGGAAGGGTATGTCACTGAGGGTCAGAGGAGTGAAGAGAACAAGTATCTCATAAACTGGGAAGGAGGTTTCTTACCTATGCGGAGGGAGAAGGGAAAAGAAAGAAGACACCTTCAAACACACTAACAAATTTCCACCCTGGTTTCTTATCAGGACTTCATTATCATTGAGTAAGGGACAGAAACAAGGCTGAGGTAGTATTTTAATCTCTAATCCTACTGACTCGGCATGACAGCAGCATACAGCTCAGAATTAATGGAGACATACGAGAATGTTTGCACTGCGAGAAAGAGACAGCGATAACAGAGGGTTAAGGGTCAAGTCCATTAGCAGAAAATAACATTTTAATTCAGACTGCATTTCAGGAGTTTAGCCTATTTCCAGTGCATCCACAGTTGACTAACCTGCTGCGAAACAACCACCCTATTGAAGGAGGGAGAGAATAGTGGGTGTAGCTCACCATTACTGAAATGAATTGTGTTAGTCTCTCTTAAGTTTCTAAAAGAAACAATGAATAAGGAGAATAAAAGGGTTTATTTAGAAAAGAAGCTTTTTATTCACAACTCACCTGAAACTTTTTCTTTGCCACAAAGTACTGCATCCTACGAATCACCTTAATTGCAGCACGGTGATGTTCCCGCAGCCTGTGGGAAAAATGAGGCAGGTGAGTGGGGTGAAAGAGCATCTCCATCCAGACAGTAAATATAACAGTCTGCAGTAAATGCTTCACTAACACGTGAATGTGTAATGGAAGTAGTTGCAATTACAGCCTGGGAGCACAACACACCATTATATTGACCTTCCTCACCTTTCAAGAGGGCTATAAAAATCCAGGGTTTTATCTGACCTATGCTGGGTTTGCATACATTTCACAGGTAAAAGACATGTCCACATAACCTCTACCCACATCTCCCAGTTTCATTTTCACAAAAAAAGCCCAAACTCTCAAGTTCCTGCATATTCAGCCATGAACAGTTTTTATACAGTCACTCCAGAAATCCAGCTTTCAGTTTTGAGGTTTGTTTATTTTTGTGGTGTTCTCCCCCAGTTCCTACACAATGTTTCTTCAATTACAAGAATTCTTTGTTTTTCAAAGAATTATTTAAAAAAAACACTTAGAAGATTTTTGAGTTGTTGACTCCCTAAGCAATCCAAATGATCTAGTGGTAGCTGGATGCAACATCTACATACACATGAATTCCCAAGCTGAACTGTAAGTTTATATAAAGACAAAATAATCTGAAAGATCTTTAAAAAATCAAATGCATTTGCATATGAACTGAAAGCAGAATGAAAAAATAATAATTTGCTCTTTGTACTTTGAAATAACTGATTTCCATAGTATCTGACATTATTTTTCAAACAGTGCATTAAGACCAACAGATATTCCAAATTTTTCAAAGCTTGCAAAAATGGTGCATTTTCCTTCTTAACATTAAAGTATCAAATCAAACATTTAACCTGTGGCCATTATTCACCTTGCTCATTTTATTACTCTTATCAAGATGTGCTTCAATGACATTACAGCACACTCCTTATTTCCTTTTTAAGTGCAAGTTAGCATTTCTAACTCTCATCTCAAACAGACTTCCAGTGATGGCTTTAGGGAGTAGAATCAAAAGCAGAGTTAGATATTCCAGACGTTTTATCTTTTTAAATTGTTGTTAGTAATACTGATAGACCAGCATATTGAGATGTCAATTTGCAGTGCTTTCTGTCTGTATTAAACCTGACAGCATTCATACTCACTAAGGGATAGACAAGTCATAATTAAGTTCTGTACAAGTTCATACAAGTTTGGGTCTTTGGTATGATATGGCATGGTATCACCCAAGCCTCTTCAGCTAAATATAACCTGGAATTTTAGCGAGTATTCAGTTGTTTCTTCATGACAAATCTCTCCCCGCAAACAAAAGTTCTGTATGTGCAAATGGTGGATGCCTGTCCTCTGGATAGGAGTAGCTGGGGTGTTCCCTTTCTGAAAACTCACACGTTTTAATAGGAAAACAGCTTTCTGCAAAGCCAAAAACAGAACTAAAAAACGCCATCATTTTCTACTTGTAGCTATTGTCTCTCTGGTACATTCTTTCTGTTATAGAAATTGTTCAGATTTAGCAATGGTAGAAAAAAGTGCTTTCTCCAGAAACAGGATAAAATACATTGCTTTTCAAGCTAATAACATACAACTTTTCGCCACATGTGAAAAGCTCGCTATACCTCTAAATGTATTCATATAAATTGACTGTACCTCAATAATTATGCACCAAATCTGCAGCTGGATCTGCATAGGGAGGCTCTTCTCTCTTAACACCTTACTGAGATGTCTTAGAGACACTGTCTTCAGGCTCCTGCTCCCACAGATCTGGCTGTAACATCATGGTTCGAGTTATAAAAATGGAAATCAGCTACTCCTGACTGGGATAGCTTAGTGTTTGGACAGTGGACAGTTAGCCTAATGCTAGTTCACAGTACCCCCATGCTGCATAATTCTGCTGCTAGAGACAAGGACAACTTCCCCAAAAGCCAAGGGAAATAAAGTGTTTGGGTTTTTACGTTCTGCCTCGCGGAGATGGGAGCCGAAAAGGCAAATGCTGTTTAACTTGCTAGTAAATATCAAAGGTGTGATATCACACAGCTATACATCCTACAAATAAAAGCACAAAAAAACATCTTTTGACAAATAGAAATATATTTGAATGGCAATAAAACTGCTTGTAGTATCTTGGTTTATGCCTCATTTCCTCTGGGGTGTTCTTCACAGTCCATCATTTCTGAATATAATATTTTCCTTTGTGACAGCCAGTCACTAGTAAAGCACACCAAATCCCTCATTCTCTATCTAGAGGACAAGTCTCATCTATAGGAAAGGCAGCCGGATAATAAAAATTATGTTTGCCATTCAGTAAAATAACAAAACTACACCACCAAAATGATTTTCCAATGTAGCTATTCCACATCAATCATTTTTCATGCTGACATGAACTTCCAAGTCAAAAAGGAAAGTTAATATTCTCATTCTAATCCTTCCCTTTTCCAGTTCCAGTAAGAAACCTTACAGTAAGCTTGTTTCTACTTATGCTGTAAAATCTAATTCTGCACAACGGGCTATCCCGATTCCCCAAGATTAAATGCTTCTGCAATGAGGGAAGGGAATGAAGGATTTAATTAGTAGCCAAGGTTATGATTCACGGTTGTTTGATCTCTTTGGCAAACTGGTAACAAATGCTTTAGTAAATTGAGAGCTTAACCATTAACTGGTGATATTTGTTTGTTCAGCCACTTGTGACATCTCTGAATTTCGGTTACCGAGGGACTGTCTGCAACCTCTGGGCACATCCAGCATGCCTAGATGCTCAATACACTACCACCCTCAGTTCCGTGAATGCTTTATTTTTGTTAGGAGTGTGGCAGGAAATGACCTCCCCTGAGCATGCTGCCAGAGCAGCAGGACACCTTCACGGTGCACCCGTCCCCAGGAGGAGAAGCCCTTTGGAGAAGCCCTACTGTGCACATGGCAGCATGGAAGTAGTTTTTAGGGAATACTGGGATACTTCAGAGAGCCTGCCTGCTTCAGTGTAGCTGTGTGAGCTAAGCTGTCTTGTAATTGCAATCCCTCATTTTTAGATGTTTAGTTTTGCCTAACTTAGGGAGAAAACTAGTTTGATAAGTGCATTAGCAACAGGGTCAGCAGAGGTGGCTTTTGCTCTTTTGGCAACAAAGATGTTTTCCTCTCCTGAGCATTCATCAGGCTTTGAGCATCATTGTCACCATACCCATTAATCTCATAACTGACATCTGAAGGGACTTGCCAAACACCACTTGAGTGTTTCTAATAACCAGCAGCATATTACCTTAAAAAGTAAAATATACAGTATGTCTGTAAAATCAAGCTAAAAATTACTGTTTCCAATACCAGACAACATCTCAGCCTGCACCTTTCCGAAGAAAAATTGCCAATACCTTTCACTGGCAACCAGTAATTTTTTCTCTCAATAGAACATCAAGATCACCTTGAAAACAGCACCCGGTACATGACATATTTCATGGACTTAAACTCACAGAATTAGATCCAGAAGCCACCAAGGAAGCTGTAACACTGTTACAACCCTTAGGAATGTTCCAGAAGGATGAACCAGGATTACCAACAACAGAAAACTATGCTAGTGGTAACAGGGCCAAGAGATTCATGCAAACCTGCATTATTTTCAGGTAATAAACTTGGTCTGCTTTATCTGTACACTGAAAAAACCTGTTGTGTATGACGGCACTATTCGAAGCATAAGAAATGAAGATAAAAAAAACCCTGACAACAAAATGAAATGGATTGATCACACACATTTCAAAAGAATGCCTGACAGAATAAAATTACTAGAGATCCTTAGTTTTTCCTGCCTCCTTTTGTTGTTAGGATACTTAACCTACAATCAGTCATTGAGAGGAAACCTGATCTCTTCATTAGTCCATCAGAAATCTGGACTGGAATTTCACTTAATTTGGAAAACAAGCATAATGAAGAAATTCATGCAATTTAACAGACATTCTCATTTAGTTGGAAAGTTGTTACACATTTATAAATGCCCCAAACTGTTGTAATTGAGATATTTGTACATTTGACTGTATATTATTAGTTTTTCACAACACAATCAGCCAAAACCTTAATAAGTTTCCCAAGGTGTGGCTCATTCCTCAGACCCCCCCTCACCAACAGCCACAGCGAATGTCACCATTTAGCCAGCACCCAGCTGCCTTCTTTCTGCAAGGGGACCTGCAGGGCCACCCCAGAAGAATGGTCTGGGACAAAGGCTAAGATTTTTTTTTTTTAAAACCGTTTTATGAAAAAGGAAGTAAGCAGGTGCATGGTTTGGTTTTTCTATGATTCAAGAAAAAAAATAATTTTCAATTAAGTTTTACAAGATTAATCCCCATTTCGAAATACAGAGTTCTTTCAAATGCATAATAAGAAAGGAAAAACAAATACTAATTAGAAATATTTATTGTCCTTACAAAGCATCTGAATCTTCTATCCAACCCTTAGTAATGCCATTAGAAGTTCCCCTTTTCATCTCAGGAAGGTGTTCTACATATTAGTTTAGTGTTAACAGAAATATTAAAGCAACAAGACAAAGGAAAGGTGGTGCTAATTTCCTTTTTATAACACTTGTCTTTCTGTTCATGTGCAGAACATTTTATTACCAGGACCGTAATGTCTGGCACAGACCTCCCAACGTACAGGGACACTGATATTATCGGAGTTAAAAGGTCAACTCTGTCTATTCAGAATGAGTTTAACAAAAACGAAAACTCAGTAGGAGAGAGCCACAAATTTATAATATCTTTTACAAAATGCCCATTTCTCAGTAAACCTAACACTGATTTGAAGTCAAACTCAGTTTTCAAACCTATTTAAATTCTCTGCAGTCATCTTAAATTTCTGACTTGGGACAGAGTAAAGTATTAGAAAGAAGGCTGAAGTCAGTTGGCCTGAAGTTTTTGGCACTAATCATTATTTAGATTTGAACTTTATCTTTAACACATCAGTTTTTAATCATATGTTGTGCATGTGAACTGAAGTATTTTTTTCCATTCAGGCACTGAAAAGCGTTCCTTGTCACAGAATCTGGTGGATGAGATTCAGAGTAACTAC